ATATATATATATATATATATATATAAATTTCAAAATCACATAATGCATTATTGATGCAATAGAATGTTGTGTGTTCATGGGTAAATATGTATCTTTATTTATCCATGATTTTTGCATTGAGGTTCAGAATAAAGGAGCTAATCTTGTAGCTGATGGGAGTTGTGTGGTCAACAAAAGGGATGATTTCCAAAAACCCAAATATTTCACCAATTTTATTTGATGAAATTTTCCTATGATTTTGTTAACTTGGAAAGTTGATGCATACACATGGATTATTACATTAACAACGTATCCATCTTTTATCTAAACTTTGTATGGAATATTACATTTAATATTTTTGCAGTGTTGGTCACCTTAAAACCAAATTAGGTCCCCTATATAGTCATGCAAAATTTCTTCCACCAAAATAACATGATTCATCTCAAATTTAGGAAAGATCTGAATTTAACTTCACTTTAGTATGTTGCTTTCCTTCAGTAAGCCAGTTGCAATAAACTAGTGCTCGAACTATTTTAATTACTTTATCTTGATGAAGAAACTACTATCCATTTTTTTTTTCATATTATATGTGTTTTGTGGTGATGAATTGCTTCTACATGTCCCAAAACATTACTTTTCACGAACATCCTTCCACATATTTGATTGTGTGAAGCTCAACAGAAGTCACCACCATGCAATTACTTTATTTTTTACAAAAGAAAATCACCCAAGAAGGTCCTCTTAGTCATTTGAACAGCATGGTTAAAAAAAAAAAAGATACATTTTTTTTGTGGGCATTGAAAACAATATCAAGCTTTCTTATTCAGGCTTTAGCGCTATTCATTTTTTATCAAAGCAATGTGATCTTAAACCTCTTGCAGGCCTGATCACAACTTAGAAGTTATCCGAACAAAAATTTTACCCTATAAAAGAAGAAAATTTAATGCTCCAAAAGTGTTACGTTTGACGACATTGCCTATCAGAAGAAAGGAAAGATCACTATCTTCATTAGTGGATGCTACTCCTGAAATAAGAACTCAAACAGGATTTAGGGAAGGAACAAAAGCAGCTGCGAATGGGGCTTCTACATTACGTGGATTAAATTCTTTAAATGATGAACATGCCAAGAAAAGCGGTGATAACAGTGAGCATATTAAAGAGAACTCTAGTAAGACTTTAATATGCTACCTTAAAAGGCAGGTAAGTTAAAAAAACATATTATGAGTAAGACTTTCCTTGGACATACGCTATATGATTTTGGAATATTTACAGACATACCACTTAATTCATATGTATTTACATTTCTAACACCTAAACTTCAATTTTTATATATATGCTACCTTAAAAGGTGTATTTCACTTTTTAAAAATTAAAATAGGGTAATTTTTATGTGACATGAAAGATGTGGGTATTAATGTATTATAAATGTGAAAAATAGAGTTTAGTTCATAGATGTGTAAATACACAGAAATTGGGTGGTATGTATGTGAATGCTCCTATCATTTTCCTTATATTATAGAAAGCTATTTAAAAATTTTAAGACGTTTGTCTGCTAACTTTGCAGAATTCTTCAAATGGGGAAAGATCCGACAAAACATCTTGTAATAAGAGACAGCATAGCAATGAAATTTTTGTTGATAAATCCAGTCTGCCAAGTCCTGCTATTAAGGTTGAGGAAACAGTTAACTTTGCTAGTGATGGTCACGTGCATAAAGTGAAGGTTTGCGAACATTCATGCAAACTGAAATTTCAAGATGAAATAAAAAATGTTCCTACATCCCCCGAGGCGGTTAATGCTAGAAGAGTGCATGGTGTTGGTAGGAAAATAAAAGTGCTTAGGCCTTCAGCTCAATCTGTGCTTGATGCTGCCGATGCTGGATCTGAAAGGAGGATCATTCCAATCTGGCTTTCTTTAGTTTCCTCGCCTGAAAGGTTAGAAATGGCTCCCTTCTCTTGATACATCAGTAAACTCAATTAAAATAATGTTTTCTTAATTTGATTTTATTTTCCTTGTTGGCATGAAATTCCAGCAGGGGGGGAGATACGAAGTTGCCATAAATATCTGCATCATACTTAAGAATCAAGTGAGTTATACTATCCCATGCATATTTAGATTCTGAGGATTTTAATTTCTGCAATTTGATTTTCGATTTCTTTTTTATTAATTTATGTACGTTTTCATTATGGAACTATGTATGTGTTAATTTTGAGAATAGAGATTCATACTTTTATTGATAGGAAATGGGGTATAAATACACGTTACAAGACCCAAATAAAAGGAAAGACATAAATTCAGAAATAGACCAACTAGAAAATACATAAATATTGAAACGGAAGCAAATAAAGGTTAATAATAACTGCAGACTAATAATTCTAATACTCTCTCCCAAATTGAAGCATAGTTGTCCATCATGTTCAACTTGGACTTGAAGTCATCAAACAACGGCCGAAGATTCTTGGTAAGGATATATGCTAATTGATTATTGGATAAAAGAACAAATGGAATACAAATCTCTCATGAATAGAGCTTCTCTTGAATGAAATGCTGGTCAATCTCTGCATGCTTGGTGCGATCATGCTGGACCTAATTATGAGCAATGTTAATGACAGCTTTATTATCACAGAACAACTGGAGAGGAGCAAAGACCGACATATGTAATTTACGAAGCATGATGTGTAACCAGAAAGCTTGATAGATACCCAAAAATATGAAGCAAAACTAGACTTTAGCACTACTTCGGGCCACAATTGACAATTTTTTCTTTTTCACGTGACAAGATTTCCCCACATGAATGAGCAATATTCGGAGGTAGATTGCCGCTCAGGGATGAATCCGACCCAATCTGCATTCATATAAGCAACAATAAAATGAGATGTGTATTGCGAGAAAAAAACAAATTTGAGCCTTGTGTGCTTCTAAGTAGTGAAGGATTCTGTGGGTAGCTTGGAGATTGTACTCATAGGGATCATGTATGAATTGACTCACAGTACCTAATGGGTGAAAAATATCGGAGCGAGCATGGGTGAGGTGCATGAGCTTTCTACAAGATGTTGGCATTGAGTTTTGTTCATTGGAACCACATTGGGAACATCAACTAATTTCTCATTGGGTTCCCATTAGGACAACCACTGGTTTGCAAATGAGAATGTTATTATCTGCCAATAGATCAAGCACATATTTGTGCTGAGGCAGACAAATGCCTTGAGATGACCGAACAACTTCCATGCCTAAGAAGTACCAGAGCGACCTCAAGTTTTTCATTTCAAATGAAGTAGCAAGAATGTCTTTCGGAGACTCTAATCCTAGTAGATCATCACATGTGAGCACAATATCGTAGACATAGATGATAAATATAGCAATTTGGCCACTGGAGAAATGCCGAAAGAAGAGAAATATGATCTGATTGAGCATGAGAAAAATCATAACCCATTAACACCCTTATGAATTTGCCTAAACATCAAAGTCTGGAGGGAGACACATGTACACCTCCTTTGTGAGATCCATATTTAGGAAAACATTCTTTACATCCAATTAGAGTAAGGGCCAATCCAAATTTATTGAAAGGGAAAGTAGCACACGAATGATGTTTATTTTAGTAATCGAAGCAAATGTCTCCTCATAATCATCTCTGTATGTTTGTGAGTAGCCTTTGGCAGTTGACCGAGCCTTGTTGCGTTCAAAGGATTCATTTGAGTTAAACTTGGTGCTAAAACTCCAGCTACACGCCGTTGCTTTCTTACTTGGAGGAAGATCAACAACATCTTAAGTATGATTCTGCTGAAGGGCAGTTATCTCATCCATCACAACAGCTTTCCAGGAAGAGCTAGCTAAATGCTTTGTAGGTTGGCGTACACTGTGGAAAAATATATACTTTTTCAAGAAATAAAGTGAGCTTTCCTGATTGCATACCTCATTAGGATAACTCACCTTTTTATTTGGAGTGGGGTTAGATATGAGGATGTCGCTCAGAGTGGATTCTAGGTCCTGTAAAGGGGTAGCGACTCCAGAGTAGGAACATCGAGACAAGTGCGCCGAGTATAGACACGAAGGATGGTAGGAGTTTCTGGTTGTCTAGTAGGTGGAAGATCCAGAGCGATAGAGGGTTCCTCAGGTATAGTGGTTGGAGAAATATTCACAGGGGTAAAATAAGAAATAGTGTCTAAGAAATCAAGCTCTCTCTCACTTGAGATAGTGACAAGGAAGTAGGGAACACTTTCAAAGATGGAGACATCGATACTCACGTAGAGTTTATTTGTGGTAGAATCATCGATAGTATTTTTGAGTTATAAAATATCTGACAAAGACACATTTTATAGACCTTGGATCAAGCTTACTTCGATTATGGGTAGTGTTTCGAACAAAGACATCGCACTAAAAAAATTTAGGTTTAAGAGTGGTGCAAAACCAATTGGTCGGGAAACATGACATTAAGTTGACTAATGGAGTTCTGAAGCTATTAATTTTTATGGGGACTCTATCGATGAGATAGGTGGAAGTAAACACGACATTATTTCAAAACCTTTTCGAGACAATATAGTGAAACATAATGGAGCGAGCCAATTTGAAAAGGTGCTGATTTTTTCTCTTAGCTACCTCATTTTTGTTGAGAAGTGTCCCTACACGCACACGAGCTATGATGGAGTACGCTCGTACTTACCAAGAATTCACCTAAAATAAAATTAAAAAATTCACGATAATTCACGATAATTGTTGGTTTGAAGAACTTGAATTGAGTCAAAATGAAGGAGCGAAAGTATTTTAAGTTAACAACTTATTTATCTTTTAAGAGATAAACTCATGTCATTAGGTTAATTAAATTTAATTAATTCTAAATCTTCATGCAACTGTTCCCGCTTCACTTCTTGCTCATAACTCACCAAACGAAGCCTGACACACTAGCCTGCTACTTGGGAGGGTCGAAGCAAAACCGCGAAGGCTCACCTCACTGTTGGTATTCCTCCTCTCCACAGAGAGGACCACAGCCGAGAGAACAAACTCCTGCTTCTGTTCGAGAAGTCTTCGCTTCGCAACGCGGGAACGTCCCTTCTTCCTGTTTCGCAGGACAGAGTGGCTTCTCTCGCTCTTTTGTTCGCACGGAGCTCCTTCATGTGTCGAAATCCTCCGTTTCTGTTCTTCGTCGGTAAGGTTGAACTCCTCACTGTAAATCCGTTCAATCGGCTCTGCCCTATCCAATCGAAGACCTCGTCATTCCTCCCTATCGCGATCCTTTTCTTTGTACCGCTCCAAGCCTTCTGTTTGAATTTCTTTGCTACTCGATTCCACAAGTATGTTCGCAGATAACCGAACGTTACTGTCTCGATCTGTTCCCTTCTCTGTTCACGCAACCATGCCCTATTGCCTCCTTGTTTGAGTGCAAAAATCATATGCATCCTTACTCTTACATCAGAATTCGCACAGAGTTGTCCCTGTCTTCCTCCGTCTAAACTGAACGATACTCTGCCTAAGCCTGTCAAAGCAATTTAAAAATTTGAACTTTTGGAATTACAATGTATTTAAATGTATACTTTTAGAGTTGTAAACAACTTAAAAGTGAAATACTTGAACTTGCAAAATGAATTGAATATGAAATATCATAAATTGGGGGCTAAGCGTGTAATCTTGACTTAAACAAAATATCATAATTTGGAGGGGATAAGCTTGTAAGCTTGACTAAAATATAAAATATCATAAATTGGAAGATTAAATTTAAATTGAATACCAAATTCTATAATTTTGGGGCTGAGCTTGACTTAAATGTGAAACATCACAAATTGGGGCTAAACTTGATTGGAGCTAAGCTTAAGTTAAATATGAAATATCATAAATTAGGGCTAAGTTTATGACATAAATGTTATTTTTAAATGTTAAAATGAAGAATTAATATTTCAAACAGGCCATGTTTACAAGCGAACAAAAGACGGTATGAAGCTTAAAGTGAAACTCTACATGCATCAATATATTCATTCAAATAAGGCAAATTTATATAAATTCAAGTCTTACATGTGATTCAATTCTTGCTTTCAAATTATGCAAGTTGCCTTAAGATATGCCAAGTTGTGTAAAATAACACAAATACATGAATAAAAAGCTCACATGTGCTCCAACCAATGTATTAGATGTTCAAATATTAGGTTCGAGAATGCTGTACGGGCTAATCGTGTCGCCTTGTCTATAGGATAGGGCTGTAAGTCCCACCCGACTAGTCCGATCCTCCTCGTAACGACTGAAGTTGACGAGTCCAGTAAATCATAAGAAATGCCTAAATCCTTAAATAAAAATTTATAAGTCCAAATCACCTAGTTCGATCCTTTTTCTCGTAAGGACTGAAGTTGACGAGTCTAACAAATTTGAACTAAATGTCTAAATTCTAAAGATAATAATTATTAGTCCAAATCAACTAGTCCGATCCTTCTTATTGTAAAGACAGGAATTGACTAGACTTATACCCTAAAATGATGAATTTAACTATTCCATTTAAGTATAAATGTTTAAAATTTTTAACTTCCCGATGATGGTTGTCTTAATCGAAGATTTCAATCGGATATGTCAAGTTTTAAAATCAAGATTTTTTAAAATTGTAAACTAAAATACTCAAGTTAAAATAAACCACTAAAAGTTAAAAGCAATCTTTATCTACCCTTCGTAACAGTTTATCGAGGGTGATAAATTTTTAATTGACTTCAACTCACAAAGAGTGGATGTCATATCAAATGTATCAATATATTTACAATAAATATAATTGTATGCAAATAAAGATGTGACCCGAGTCCTATGTCTGTGTAATTTGCCGCCAAATGACACTATAAAATAGCGGTTACCACGAGAACCCTCTGACCGGGTGGTTGTTGTCAAATGATACTATTATATTGCAGTCAAGGTCGCAACTCGTATATTTTCAAATAATTTTTTACTTTTTAAGTTCTGAATCATAAGAGTACAATTGATTGCCACAAAACCTTCTATTAGCTAAGGTCGACTTAAATTGTCCTCTTAGACAAATATTCATCCCAGATCTACAAAGATTTCTTAGACGACGCAACCCATGACTGTTGGCAAGAATCCTTATGTCAGGTTGGGTTGACT